GGTATCCAGGGCCATAGGTAGCCCCTGCTCTTGCCAACTCAGTAGCCAGGTACAGCATCCTGCACAATCTCTGCTCTGCCGGGAGGCACAGGAACCACCCTGAACTATGCTACATAAACAGAGAACTGACTGCATTCACACTTCTGGTCTCTACCACATCTAGCAGGAGACAAGTGGTAAGTACCTGAGAATACATCAATATGCACTCATCAACTAAATATAAATGTTACGTGCCATCAAGTCAGTTCCAACTCATAGTGACTCTATGTACGGTTTCTGAGGATTGACTGGAGGAGTTTGAACCACTGACCTTGTAGTTCAAACTGACCTTACCGTTCAGTGCTTTATCCTACAACACCACATCAGGATTCCACAATATCTCAGAGAAAACAGACAATTTAAGCTTACAAAAAGAAACAAGACAGAGTGCCTCAAACAAGTGACCAAAATACAGAGTCAGAAAATGTAACGCCAGAAATAGAGTCGGAACTACCCAATAAAAAACTTAATAGAATGGTAATTGGGCAAAACTTCAACAAATTGAGTGAAAGATCAAAAAACTACAGATGAACGCAAGGGAAACATAGTCAAAACTATAGAAACAACTGGTAAACATGGGAGCTATACAAAATCAGCAACTAGAAAGCCAGAAAATTAACACTAAAACTTGACAAATAGATAATACATTCAAAGGGCAAAAAACTGAATGGAATCAATGGAAAGCTGAATTACTGAACTTGAAGGAAAACCTCTCAATAATCATCTGCTAGAAGAACAGTCAGAAAAAAGAACAACAACAACAAAATCAGAAGCCTAAAGTTTATGTGGAGCACTATGAAGAGGAATAATTTGCATGTGATCAAAATTCTAGAACAGGAAAGGACAAAAATTTAAAAAACCACAGAGAATATTGTCCAAGAGTTGTTGGCAAAAAGCTTCCCTAACATCTTAAAGATGAGAAGAAGATTGCATGAACTCCAAACAGGACAGACACCAAAAGAAAAGCACCAAGATACATTATCATCAAACTTTTCAAAACCAAAGACATGAAAAAAATCCTGAGAGCAGCTCAGGAATAATGAAAAGTTACCTACAAAGAAGAATTAATAACACTAAGTACTGGTCTCTCAGCAGAAACCATGCAGGCAAGAAGACAACGGAATGACATACAAAAAACTCTGAAAAAACAAATTTTCAGTCAAGAATCATATAGCCAGCAAAACTGTCCATCAAATACAACGGTAAAATTTGGTCATTTTCAGACAAACAGAAGCTAAAAGCATGTGTAAAAAAAACAAACTAATCTTACCAAAACTACTTTTAGACAGATAAACAATAACAGCAGACTACAACCTGAAACTAACATACATGATTCAACCCAGATATATGCAAAGTAAAACAGACATATAAGACTGAAATTAGGATAAGTACTGAAATGCTAACCATCAGCCACTCCTCGGAAACCCTATACAGGGTCTCTATGAGTTGGATTCGAAGGCACTTAACAACAACGTAAGACTGAAAGAGAGAACCAGAGATACAGTTTTAACAGCAACAAATAAATAACCATAAAGTAAAAAGAGAGAATAATCCAGTAAAAGAATTTCCAAATGAAGAGGAAATCAAATACATTTCAATAAATAAACAGTAGTTGTTGTTGTTAAATGTTCTCAAGTCAGTTCCCATGCATAGCGACGTTGTATAAAGTTTCTAAGGAGTAGCTGGTGGGTTTGAACCACCCTTGCAGTTCAAATCAGCTTTACGGTCCAGTGCTTACCCTATATCACCACACCAGGACTCCTACATAAACAAATAAAAATAACATAACTGTAATCTTAAAAACTAAACCAAGCCTTACTCCTAAACCTAATCTGACCCTCACCCCAATATTAACTCTAGTCCTAAGCATAACCCTAACAATAAACAAATTTCTAGGCTTAGCCAAGACCTAGCCATAATACAAGCCCTAACCTTCACTCTTTACTCCTACACCCCCCACCAAGTAAATGATAATAATACTCACCATTCATCTTTAAAGGATATTAGTTAACCAGTTTGTTCTTTACAAGAAAATGATAAATAAAAGTATTTGGTATACATCTTTCCCTTATTGTATAATTTGTATCTAAAGGAGAATTAATTATTTTAGAAGGGAACATTTCTTTTTATAGAGTGAATGCATCTTATTAAGTTGTTGTTGTTGTTAGGTGCCATAATGTCAGTACCATCTCATAGCTACCTTATGCACAACAGAACGAAACACTGCCTAGTCCTGGGCCAACTACACAATTGTCACCACGCTTGAGCCCACTGATGCTGCCATTTTGTCAATCCATCTCATTGGGGGTCTTCCTCTTTTTCTCTGACTCGCCACTAATTTAAAAACTACAATGCCATCAACTTGCAACCCAGAATGAATTAATGAATGTAGGAATACCCAGCTCAAAAAAATGAAAATCAACCATGTGTTCCTGATTTCCTAATTGAAGAATACATAACTCCTTATTCAAAAGAAATAGAAAAGAAAACCTGAATCTGGTTAAATATTGATACTAGACTAGCATTTATTGTCTGATATAATACCAGATGATGAGCCCCTCAGGTTGGAAGACACTCAGCATAAGGATGGGAAGGAGCTGCCTTCCAAAAATAGAGTTGATCTTAATTAAGTGGATGCAGTAAAGCTTTTGGGAGCTTCATTTGCTTATGTGGCTCGATTAAAAATGACAAGAACCAGCCATAAACATCCATTAATAATCAGAGCATGGAATGCATGAAGAGGATTGAAAGGAGGGCGTGGAATGAGGAATATCAGTGCTGATGTCAAATAGATCTTGACTGAGAGTGGAAAATACCAGAGAGCTCTTTACTTGTGTTTTGTTGACTATGCAAACATGTGGATTATAACAAATTATGGAGAACACTACAAAGACTGGGAATTCCAAAACAGAATTAATTATGCTCATGTGGAGCCTGTACAAAGAACAGGAGAAATTCCTTCGAACAAACCGAGATACTGCGTAGTTTAAAATCAAGGAAGCTATGCATCATCGTTACCCTTTCACCATATTTATTCAATCTGTATGCTGATAATAATCCAAGAAGCTGTACAATATTAAGAAGAACTTGGCATCAGGATTAGGAGAAGACTTAATTAATAAGCTGAAAGCAAAGACTTGAAACACTGATGAAGATCAAAGATTACATCCTTCAGTATGGATTTCTTATTACATAAAGAAAACAAAAATCCTTACAAATAGACCAATAAACAACATCATCATAAAGAGAAAAAAGATTGGAGTTGTTAAGAATTTCATTTTACTCAGATCTGCAATCAATGCCCATGGAAGGAGCAGTCAAGAAATTAAGCAACACATTGCATCTGGCAAATCTGCTGCAAAAGTTCTCTTCAAAGTGTAAAAAAAGTAAAGATGTCTCTTAGTAGACTAACGTGCACCTGACCCAAGCCATGGTTCTTTTAGTCACTTCATATGCATGTAAAAGCTGGTTAATGAATTTGGAAGACCAACGATTTGATGCCTTTGAATGATGGGTCTGGTGAAAAATATTGAATATGTCACGAACAGCCAGAATAATGAACAAAACTGTCTTGGAAGAAGTATAGCCAGAATGATCCTTACTTGGAAGCGAGGATGTTGATATGTCATCCTATGTACTTTTGACATGTTATCAGGAGAAGAACACCATGCTTGGTAAAATAGTGGGTCAGAGAAAAAGAAGACCTTCAACAAGGGCTAATATAGTGGATGCAACAACAGGCTTCAACATAGTAAAGATTATGAGGATGGAATAGGACTGGACAGTGTTTCATTCTGTTGTATATAGGAGAGCTATGAGCTGGAACCAACTCAACAGTATCTAACAACAGCAACCATTTATCCAAATACAGGGAACAGATGAGCATATTAAACAAGCCCATGTACAACAATGTGTAAAATTCAGACTATGTGAAACTCAACAGGACAAACACTCAGGTTCTTTAAGAGTAGTATCATAGCAAAACAAAATGCAATAATACTTACCCTGCAGAATGAAAGAGATGTATCAACCATTCGTGATGCTGATCCAAACTATTTAAAACTCAAAAGACCATCACAAAAATATAAACATGGTTTTATATGTGATGATATGAAGGAATTGTTGCTATTTCCAAAGTGTAATAGTGGTATTATGGTTATGGTAAAAGTAGAGACAAATTTTTAGTAATACTGAAATATTTATAGGTGAGTTTGATGTTTTGGAATTTAAGAGAATGAAACACTGTCCTTTTCTCATAGTTGTTGTTAATGCTTGGACCCATTGTTGAGGTATAGATGAAACAAGTTTGCCATGAATTGAAAATGATTAAATAAATTTTGGATCCATCACACCATTTTAATATTATTCTTTCTGCTTTTGTATGTGTTTGAACATTTTTCCTGTAAAGATTTGCCATCTGCCTAATATGAAATTTTAATAATATGGATACTTAAACTGTGACCTTTTATCAAAAATTATTTTCCTTTCAATATATTACCTCTCTCATAGGTATAGTTATATGAAATATCTTTGAACTGAGGGGGGCCTTGCCTACTAGAATTTAGAAGCTGATTAATTCAGTGATCGAAATCAGATAAGCAGTCCCCGTAATTGCATCTAACTGTGCCATGTACTATAATAGCTTCTCAGCTCTGCATATGGATCCATGATCCTGCTGCAAATTACAGAGTTGTAAAGGTCATATCCACTAGTAATGCAGCATGACCACATTTGAGACAGAGCCAAGAATCTGAGTCATTATCAGCAGAGTTATTTAAAGACACCCAAGGGAGCAGCTTGAATAATGACTTTGTATACACTCCTGGGTCAGACAAGAAGCACTAGAAGACTGATGCTGTGCTATTCCTGCTAGTGCTAAACTTGTGTATTGATTAGGAACCTTGCCCCACCATCTTATCCCTTTTTACAAGCAATAAATGTATTTTTAAAAGACTTTGTACCTTGTTTACATTTTCCAGAGAAACCATACTTGTCACCCACAGGTGTTTGAGTTTAGTGACATCTGAAGTGATGGGATGTAGTTTTTGCAGCTTTAAATTTTCTCCCCAGATACCTAATAAACCTTCTTTACTAATAGTCAAGTAACGACTTGAACTTTTTAAGAAAATTATTTTTTGAATTGTGTCCTTGTGTTTCACTGGGAGGAATTCAAGTGTCTTCCACTGGGGAACCACAGTTGCCTTTGCTTGTTCATCTTTTTCATAGAGTGCTAACAGCATGAATGAGGTCAGCATGTCCCAGTTAATGAAGCCATCTCGGGCCACATCCACTTTGTCAAAGAGCTCCTGATAGTCTTTCTTCGTACCCCAACCAATAATCTCTTTCATCCGCTGCACAAATTGTTCTCTGGACATAGAGATGGTTTGTCTTGGCTCTGGAGACTTCAAACAAGAATAAAAAAATTTTTAAAAATCAGACAACAATAAAAGTATCACATGCACAGTAGCATTGGGCTATTCTCAATGGTGGTATTAGTTGGCAATTTTTTTCAATATGCAGTGAAAAAATGTCTTTTATTCTTTGTCAGCATTATATTTATGTGAACTGAGGGAGGGAGCCAAGAAAATTGACAGAATTAGGTGCCAACATCCTCAATTTTTGTCACTAGTAAATAAAGTAATTCTCAAGTTAAGGCATGAAATTTATTCTTTCAAAACTGCAGAGATGCCCAAACTAGCACCCAAAAATCATGTCCTGGTGGTTATGGAAAGCAGAATAATGCACACACCCACTCCAAAGAGGTATACGTTCTAATTTCCAGAACCTGTGAATATTATAGTTAATATGACAAAACGTGATGAAATTAAGGATGGAGATTATTCTGGATTATCAAATGGGCCCAATGGAATCATAGAAGTCCTCACAAAGGAAAGAGAGACATAGGAAAATCAGAATCAGAGAAGATCTGAAAATAGAAGCATAAGTAAATGCAATGCACTTAATGACCCATAGATCTAGGGCTGAGTGCTTTCCAACTGAGACTTATGGTGCAGAGACTTGTCCTTGGACATTTATCAGCAGTGCTAAAACTGTTTTTATAACATTGCCCGAAGCAAGGCAGAGGCCAGGGGCTGCTCAGCTGAGAGGCTGAGGACCAGAGTTGGGTGTATCTGCAGGCACAGCTGAGAAGAGGCTACCCTGACCAGTGAACTGTATCCTCAATAATTCAAATCCTGAATTGAAATGTGTAACTACCTTAATAAGCCCCACAGTCAGGAATATGGTGTGTGAGTTTGTGTGGCCATTGCAATGAATTACTGAACCCAACCGAGAAGTAGAGAATGGTGTGATAGTGATGGCTGACGTGAGAATTGGTAAAAAGTTTAGAGGGTGGAGGTGTGTCTGACCTCAGCCACAAAGGAATCTGCTTCAGCTGATGCTGAGTTTGATTCTCCTTACTTGTGAAGTAAGAGGAGGTCAAACACCACCCTATGCCATTTCTTACAATTGCTAATAGCATATTTTCTTAGAGTAATTTTTAAAATCAACTACAAAGAGTTGTCTGCACATTCATAATGCCAATATTTACTGGCAGAAGACAAACCAAAACAATTTATGGAATTTAAGCAAAAAGTTCAATTACTATCAGGATACACTTGGTAGTTTCATTACTGATTTTTTACTCATAATCTTTTCTGGGTAAGTATGAGGACAATGCCACATTTTTGGCTGAACTGTCTGTTTAAATTTTAAAGTTTTTTTTGCATTGACTTAAAAATCTAAACTAACTTCAGGAAGCATTGTGTTTTGATCAATATGTGGTTTATATTTATTCATTTTATTACATGTCAGCATGAGTGAATTAGTTAAATGTAAAATTGTAGTGCATGATTTTGTATATATATTTAAAAGTACAAATACATTAACTTTTATCACACAATGAATTCCAATATTATCATTGGCTCCATTTGCCCTAGAATTAACTCATTCACTCCATCTCACTATACATATTGCACACTGAGGTAGGGAGATTGTGTGGTAGTGTAGACAGGACTGCTAGACACATCCTGTTATTTCATCTCCAAATAGAAGTCATAAAATCTAACTTTGGGGGTTATTCTCATAATAAATTAATAAATTGGTGTGTATACTGCTGTTGTTGAAGTCGGTCCAGTACTTTATGTTACAGTGCCACACCAGGACTCTCAATGCCTATAGCACATAGGATAATTTGATGTGTGTGGAGCTGTAGGATAAGCACCAGACCACAAGATCAGACTGAACCGCAGTGGGTGATTCAAACACACTATCTGCTTCTCGGAAACTCTGTACAGGATTGTTATAAGTCAGAACTGACTCAATGGCACTTAACAACAACAACACATTTATACTCATACTGGAGAACGGTTCATTCCATGCTAAAAGGTTTAAGACTGCAAGTACTATAAATTGAGTCATTATACAGACAATAACTGTTCTCTGAGGATTTAGCTAACTTAATTTGGGGGGGAGAGACTTTAGAGGTATATGTAATTATTAATTTTACCAAAATTTACCTATCAGGATTGAATAGCTGCTAATTACATGGTTGGAAGATGCTTTTTTAGAGGGGTCAAATACATATATATATATATATATGACAACAGGATTATCTGAGGTTTTTCAGCTTTTAAAACCATTATCGTAATATTAGCAGATGCTAGTTTTCAGCTTAAAATGTGATGGCAATGTACACACTAATGTGCTCCTCATCAGAGGCACAAATAGAAAACTGCCTTAAGTAAACATTTACCTGTTCTTAAAACAAGACAATTTCATGTGTAACATGCTGGTATGTTACCAGTGTGAACAATGTGGTTTCCATCTTGTCCTGAGCCACTTTATTGCTACTCAGAGAATACTGAGCAAGAGGTCTCCAACCTGGACTTCTTGGCAAAAGTTAAATCCACAAAAAGGAAGCTATGCAGAATGTGTCCTGTGGTTGTTTAAATGATTATATATTCCTGAGTGTTTTTGCATACACCCCACTCCCACTCACGCCCCCAAAAAACAACAGAGTGAATATAAGCAAATTCTGTTGAATGATGATGCACAAAGGAGATTGTAATCATTGCAATAAGAATAATGAGTGTAAAACTGATATTCATCCCCATAAACTAATCACTCAATTCACAATAAAAACTTTAAAAAAAAAAGGGGGGGGGGGTGAGAAATTTAATTCTTTAATCTAAACATGAATTTGCATATGATATTTCAGTTGTTACAAATCCTGAGTCTGGAATATTTATTATTAAATAACAGAACAATTTACCCCAAAATTATATTTGGATATATATTTTTTTCTATTTTATTATTTTATATTATAAATATATTTCAACGGATTTATAATTTCACAGTTATATACCATAATTAATATTAATCCATTTAAAATTTAATATTTATACCCAAATTTATGACATAATACTTCATGATCTTAGTCAAATCATAAGATTTCTCATGGTTTGTGTGAACCTATATAAGATCATTTGTGTAAAAGGACATCTTTACATCAAATGACTCTATTCAAACATTGTACATTAAGCACTCAGCTGCTAACCAAAAGGTTAGCAACTCAAACCCAACAAATGGCTCTACAGGAGAACAGACCTTAACATCTGTTTTCATTAAGATTGCAGCCTAAGAAGCCCTATGGAGAAGTTTTGTTCTATTATCACATGGGGTCACTATCAGTGAAAACTCAACTTGGCAACACCTAACAACTATGCTGCTGTTGCTAAGTACCATGGAGTCGGTTCCGACTCATAGTGACCCTGCACAGGGTTTCTGAGTCTATAAGTCTTTATGGGAGCAGAATGCCTCATCTTTCTCCCATGGAGCGGATGGTAGTTTCGAACTGCCGACCTTGAGGTTAGCAGCACGATTCATAACCACTATGCTACCAGAGCTCCTTATACTAAGCATTAATTATTTTGCTTAAGACACATTTGTGTCCACATGAAGTATATATTTAGTTAAAAAAAACTATTGTTGCTGCTGTTGTTGTTGTGAACTGCTGTCAAATCGGCTCTGACCCATAGCAAGCCTACATAGGGTTTCCAGGGAGTGACTGGTGAGCTTGAACCACCGACCTTGAGGCTCAAACTGATTTTTCAGTCTGGCACATTAACCCACAGCACCATACAAGACTCCAAGAAAATATTTAGAAAATTTTATTTCATTAAAACATACTGAATGTAGTAGTTAATTCTCAACTTTTTAATTGAAAAGTTTAATCACAACTGTTTCTTCCCAGCCGAGAGTTTGTTCTAATTTGAATGAAGGTCTTCCAAATAAAAACTAGTGAATACCATTTATAAAGATACATCCTTCTACTCCTAATAGTCATTCATTTCAGGAGGTAGCATGAGAACAAGAACCAATGGTACCAAAGGAATTAGTCTAACCTGCACAAAAGACACTGGTGCAAAACAAAACTCCAGGGAGTCACAGAATGCCAAATGAAATGTTTCAAACAAACAGATGCAATGCTGGAAACACTCACTCATCAAAAACAGATGCGTCTGGAGGGGATTATAATCATTGTAATGAAACAAAACGATAGGATGAGTGTAAAGCTGATGTTCTCCCATGTAAACTATCACTCAATTCACAATAAAAACTAAAAAAAAAGCTGCATTAAAACATCAAAAAGAATAGAAGGAATAGAAGATGGCAGACTAGGCAGAAAGTCTATACAGACTCTCTATAACAAAGATAAGGGAAACCAAATGAAACAGATATAGATGATAGTCCTAGAATCCTGAGATGCAGATGAAAGGATAGCGAATTGGATTGAAATCTTACTAGGATAAAAAGCTGGACACATAAAAAAGGAGACAGACTGCTGACCTGTGAAGGCCAACCACCCATGGCACAGCTGGCCATCTTAGGCTTCTGTGAATGGTTTGAGACTAGAAAGCATATTATCATTACAAAAACATACCAGTGACTCAAAGGGATAAAGGTGCAATTTTTTTTCTTGTTCCCTACACTCCCCTGGTGACCAGAGGCTAGGCAGCCCCCACCCGCATATACCCCCAGCAAAGCTTCCATTCTCCCAGCTGTTGGAACCACACAAAGATGAACAGCACAGTGGTAAACTCTGTCAAAGGAGTGGGAAGAAATCTGTACCAATTCCAGTGCCTGAGTTCAGGTGATGCCTGCTCAAAACCTGCAGAATCAAGCCTGGCCATTCCTGGACTAGCTGTCACTAAGAGAAGCAGTCAAACTGAAATGTGAGGTTAAAAAAAAATGGAGGCAGGTGACCTGTATTGGCTGACTGGGTGATGCATGGTTATCGTTAGCTTTCGTGAGCAGCTTTGGATGCAGAGGGCATTTGGTGGTGCAGAGAAAGGTATAAATTTTTTCTTGTACCCCACATTACCCTGGTGAACAGAGGCAT